GCCAAGGTGGAGTGGGGTCATGAAGATCAGGAGATTGAGGGCAGCCTGGTCAAATATTGTGAAACCCCGTCTCACTAAAAATACAAATTAGCTGGGGTGGATGGTGTGCGCCTGGTAGTCCCAAGCTGCCTTGGAGGCTGAGACCCAGGAGAATCGTTTGAACCGGGAGGGCAGAGGTTTGCAGTGGGAGCATTATCGCACCACTGCACTCCAGCCTGTGCACAGCAACGATTCCTTCTTAAAAAAAAAAAAAAAAATTGTATTAATTTAAAGTAGAGTGAAAGAATCAAATTCCCAAGCTAGGAGTTGGTGGCTCACACCTGTAATCCCAGCACTTTGGGAGCCGAAGGCGGGCGGCATCACCCTGAAGTCAGCAAGTAGAGACCCAGCCTGGCCAACATGGGTGAGAACCCTGGTCTCTACTAAAAAACCACAAAAACACAAAAATTAGCCAGGTGTGGTGGTGGGCACCTGTCATCCCAGCTACTCAAGAGGCTGAGGCACAAACGTTGCTTGAACTTGGGAGGTGGGAAGGTTATAGTGAACTGATATTGCACCACTGCACTCCAATCTGTATGACGAGAGCAAAACTCCATCTTCAAAAAAGAAAAAAAAAGACTAGACTAGAAGCCAGGATACATCATGACCATGAGGGACCACTAGGACCACCCGCGCTGACCCACCCCACAGTCACACAATTGTTGAAGGGCCCGGTTGAGGTTGGAATCCAGGGCTGCCCCACGGACTTCACACAGCCTCTTCTAGGCACAGGGAGGTTCCAGCAGCAGCCTTCCCAATGGTGGAAAAGAACCCTGTTCAGGAAGCTCCCCATGGCAGTGCTGGCTTCTCTCTGCCCTCATTATCTATTCTCTATCATCAATTTTAATCAGAATAGATGGCTGGGAGGATCGCCTGAGGCCAGGATTTCGAGACCAGCCTAGGCAACAGAGTGAGATCCTGTCTCTACAAAAAAAAATTTTAAAAATCAGCCAGGCGTGGTGGCTCACATCTATAATCCCAGCACTTTGGGAGGCCAAGGAGGGTGGATCACGAGGTCAGGAGATCGAGAACATCCTGGCCAACATGGTGAAACCCCGTCTCTACTAAAAATACAAAAATTAGCTGAGCAGAGTGGCGTGCCTGTAGTCCCAGCTACTTGGGAGGCTGGGGCAGGAGAATCGCTTGAACCCAGGAGGCGGAGGTTGCAGTGAGCTGAGATTGCGCCATCGCACTTCAGCCTGGCAACAGAGCGAGACTCCGTCTTAAACAAACAAAAAAATTAGCCAGACATGGTGGTGCACACCCATAGTCCCAGCTACTTGCGAGGATCACTTGAGCCTGGGAGTTTGAGGCTGCAGTGAGCTACGATTACACCACTGTGCTTCAGCCTGGACGACAGAGCAAAACCCTGTCTCAAAAAAAAAAAGAATAGACAGCACTTTTTTTTTTTTTGGAAACAGAATCTCGCTGTCTCCCAGGCTTGAGTGCAGTGGCGCAGTCTCTGCTCAATGCAACCTCCACCTCCCAAGTTCAAGCAATTCTCGTGCCTCACCCTCCCGAGTAGCTGGGATTACAGGTGCATACTACCATGCCCGGCTTATTTTTGTATTTTTAGTAGAGATGGAGTTTCACCATATCAGTTGGGCTGGTTTTGAACTCCTGACCTCAGGTGATCCACCCATTTCGGTCTCCCAAAGTCCTGGGATTACAGGTGTAAGCCACAGCGCCCAGCCAACAATAGACACTTCTGTAGTATTGTTTTAAGAAGTTCATGCTTATCAATGAGGCCCAGAGAGGCTGAGTAATTTATCTGAGGCCACACAGCATTCAATCCCAGGACATCTGCATATGTGCTCTTCATTGGGGGCCACACAGGCTCCTGCTAATGGTGGTTGGTAACCACTGTCATGGACTGGGCTTCTAGTGCCCACCACCCACCACCACTTGCCTCCTCTGGGGCCCAGGCTGGGGCACTTACCGTGGCTGGCGAGGCACGGGTGGTGTGGGAGTAAGACTGGCTGGCACTGCCCAGCATGTAGCCACCTTGGATCACGTAGGTGCCTGCTCCGCTGCCGCCGCCTCCGGTGCTGCCACTGCCACCCCCGCCACCGCCTCCCCCGCTGCCGCCGCCGCCACCACTGCCACCACCTCCGCTGCTGTTGCTGGCCCCAGCCCCAGTGCTGGTAGAGCTGGCGACGACCTGGCTGCCGGACACATACATGGGCATGGAGCCACTGCTGGCCACTGCCTGGGAGGTGGCAGGGGTGCTGACCTGGGCGGCCGTGCCCGCGGCCTCGTAGTAGCTGGTGCTTGCCGTCTGCGTGTACAGCGGCGTCTCGGGGTAGGGGTAGGTGCTGGAACGGCTAGGAAAGAGGTAAAGCCGGGGTAGAGTTAGGGGGATGAGAACTGGGGGGCCAAGGTGCATGACTACGCAGGAAGGGGGGTACCAGGAGGGGACTGGGGAAGCAGCAGCCCCCCTGCAGCAAGGAGCAGATCCTAACATTCACCTACAATGGACTGGGTACCATCCTGTGTGCCTGATGGGCAGTATTTCATATAATCATCAAAGCAGCCAGTCCTCTGGCATTGGAGTCACTTTCCCCACTACGGAAATTAGGAAATCAAGATAGAAGGGTAAGGGAACTCAGCCGCGCATGGTGGCTCCTGCCTGTAATCCCACCACTTTGGAAAGCAGAGGCAGGAGGATCGTTGAAGGCCAGGAGTTCAAGACTAGCCTGGGTCACATAGTGAAAACCCATTTCTACAAAAAATATAAAGATTAGCTAGGCGTGGTGGTGCACACCTGCAATCCCAGCTACTTGGGAGGCTGAGGCAGGAGGATCCCTTGAGGCCAGGAGTTCAAGGCTATAGTGAGCTATAACCATACTACCACTGCACCAAAGCCTGGGTGACAGTGAGACCCTGGCTTTTTATTTTTGTTATTTATTTACTTATTGAGACAGAGTCTCTCTCTGTCACCGAGGCTAGAGTGCAGTGGCACAATCTTGGCTCACTGCAACCTCCGCCTCCTGGGTTCAAGTTATCCTCCCGCCTCGGCCTACCGAGGAGCTGGGAATACAGGGGCACACCACCACACCGGCTTAATTTTCGTATTTTTTTAGTAAATTTGGGGTTTCACCATGTTGCCCAGGCTGGTCTCGAACTCCTGACCTCAAGTGATAAGCCCGCCTCAGTCTCCCACAGTGCTGGAATTACAGGCATGAGCCACATGCCTGTAACCACACCTGGCTGACCCTGTCTTTTTAATTTAAAAAAAAAAAAAAAGCCTTAAGGGTTAGGGAACTTGCAATGCTACACACTTCATTAAAAAAATAAAATTGGCAAGTGCTTTGAGTGCCTACTGTGTGCTAGGCACTGTTTTACATACTTTGGACACAGCAATGGACAAGAATGAAAAGCCCCGGCGCCTGGAGGAGTTGACGGTCTAGTTGGGGAGACAGGCAAGAAGCCATGTGCAAAGGTAAATGAGAGATCATAACAGAAGGTGATCAGCCAGTGAGTGAAGCAGGAAGGGGGTGGGGCTAAAGAAGGCGACGCTGTGATTGGAGGAGACCATCAGGAATACAGATATGTTTCCCCTGAGCCAAGCTACCTATCCCAGGCTGGGAAATCCTCTCTCCTTCAAGATATCCCGTGATGGGATGGGCACCGGTGACACAGGCTTGAGGCTGCAAATCGTCACAAGCATAAAAACCACCAGGGGTTCAACCTCAAGGGGCTGTTAAATAAAAGATGATGGAATCCTATGCAGGGGTGAAAGAGAAGGAGGGAGGGCTCGTCGTCCCCGGAAAGAACAAGCTCCAGAACCTACCACAGGGCAGATAAGAGGCAGAGAAGGGTGGGGACCGTGTGACCGAACAATAGGAAAGAATGCGTTGCATGTGGTATGCATGTCTGTCATCTGTGAGCGTGGAGGGCTCCATCGAGGGGGACAGGCGGGGGGCACCTCTCACCATCTCACTAAACATCATTGGACGTAGTTTTGATCTTTGAACTCTTTCAAAGTACTAGTGATTAAAAACATAGCATTAGGCCAGGTGCAGTGGATCACACCTGTAATCCCAGCACTTTGGGAGGACGAGGCGGGTGGATCACTTGAGGTCAGGAGTTTGAGACCAGCCTGGCCAACATGGTGAGACCATCTCTACTAAAAATACAAAAATTAGCCAGGCATAGTGGCAGGCGCCTGTAGTCCCAGCTACTCAGGAGGCTGAGGCAGGAGGATCACTTGAACACAGGAGGTGGAGGGTGTAGTGAGCTGAGATCACACCACTGCATTCCAGCCTGGGTGACAGAGTGAAACTCCACCTCAAAAAAAAAAAAAAAGAAAAAGGGGGGCGGGTAGGCGCAGTGGCTCACACCTGTAATCCCAGCACTTTGGGAGGCCAAGGCGGGTGGATCACCTGACGTCAGGAGTTCGAGACCAGCCTAGCCAACATAATGAAATCCTGTCTTTACTAAAAGTACAAAAAAGCCAGGTGTGGTGGTGGGCGTCTGTAATCCCAGCTACTCAGGAGGCTGAGGCAGGAGAATCGCTTGAACCCTGAAGGCAGAGGTTGCAGTGAGCCGAGATTGCACCATTGCTCTCCAGCTGTGCAACAAGAGGGAAACTCCATCTCAAAAAAAAAAAAAAAATTAAACATCCAGAAAGACAGCGTGGTCAGTCAAGAGGTGGCCTGACTCAAACTCTGAAGGTGGCAGGGGAGGGAGCCATGCTGGCCCGAGTGGTTGTGAGTGAACAAAGAGAGGGAGTTGACAGTGGAAGGAGATATGGAAGCATGGTCTTTGTCAGATACCAGGTCCAGCTCTCAATCTTTCTGTCCTGCCCTATGTCTACCACACAAAATGACACCAAGAGCACATGACCTGAGCAAGTGCCCCCACTTCTCCAAGGCGGGGGCCACAGCCTGCTCACTCCTGGGCACCCAGCATGCAACGTGTACTGCAAAAATGTTGCTTCAGTAGATGGTTGCTGAATGACTGAATAAATGAATGTGTGCGGCTCTGGATGTCCCCCAGAACAGGACCAGGGATGGAGGCCCAGAGGCTGTGGCTTTGGTCTGGGTGGGGATAGGGCTGGCAAAGGGTTGGGAACTCGCAGTAATTCACTCAGAAAGAGAGACAGAAAAAGTGGGCAGTTAACAGCAGGAGTGGCCCCCAACAACTTCTTGTAGCAGAAAAATCCGGTAACAACGATGAACTAGGTACAATCACACACACTACGATCACTGAGTGAGGGATTCAGACAGGCAAAGGAGAGACAGCAGAGACACTACCAGGGATGGAGCAGGAACCCTCGGACACCAGGCTCCTCTTTGCAATGCCCTGTCTGGCCCCTGCCAGCTTGGCTCAACCGCACAGTGAAAAGATTAGCAGCACTGGAAAAAAACGGATGGAACTGTGAGGTAGCCGGACGCCAGGGACCAAGCCTTACAATTCAGGTGCCTGGACCAGGCCCCTTGGGGTCGGTCAGAGCATCATGACTCTAGGACTAAGTCAATCCATGAGCTAACCAATCCCAGCGTTGTCCCCAGAAGAACACGTGGCAGGGACGAAAAAAATCACGCAAATGCAAAGAAAACCAAGTGAAACCTCTAGAAACTAAACCAATGGTAACTCTAGTACTGCAGCAATTTCTGTGGAGATGGGAGAGGCAAGGTGGCATGGAGGACCCCCAGTGAGGAGCCAGAGCTGGGACTGAAGCGGGGCCAGGATGTGGCACCTGCCTGACACGGCTCATACACAGGAATGGTAGTGCTGTACCCAGGGAGGGGAAGAAGCCCCCTACGCATCACTGGGTGGGGACTGATGACATCGTGGCTGCTACATCTGTACAGGGGTTATTACACAGCAGCTAAGAGGGTGACCAGGATCCACGAGGACACGTGGGAGAAGAGCCAGGAAAGAAATAAGGTATGGATGGAATGTCCTGCCTCTATTTCTGACCAAAAAAAGGGGGTAGAGGCTGGGCACAGTGGCTCATGCCTATAATCCCAGCACTTTGGGAGGCCAAGAGGGGAGGATCACTTGAGTCCAAGAGTTTGAGGAGATGAGCCTGGGCAACATGGCAAAACCCCATCTCTCTAAAAAGAAAAAATTTAGCTGAGCATGGTCGTGCACACCTGTAGTCCCAGCTACTAGGGAGGCTGAGGTAAGAGGATTGCTTGAGCCCGTGAGCTGCAGTGAGCCCTGATCGTACCACTTCTCTCTGGCCTGGGCGACAGAGTGAGACCCTGTCTCAAAAAAAAGAGAAAAAAAGAGACCACTATGGTGGCTCATGCCTGTTATCCCAGCACTTCGGGAGGTGAGGCGGGTGGATCACGAGGTCAGGAATTCAAGACCAGCCTGACCAACATGGTGAAACCCCATCTCTACTAACAATACAAAAATTAGCTGGGTGTGATGGTGTGTGCCTGTAATCCCAGCTACTTGGGAGGCTGAGGCACGAGAATTGCTTGAACCCAGGAGGCAGAGGTTGCAGTGAGCTGAGATCATGCCACTGCACTCCAGCCTGGCGACAGAGTAAGACTCCATCTCAAAAAAAAAAAAGAAAAAAAAGAAAAAAAAGAAAAAGAAAAAAAATGGGTAGAGGGCTAGAGTTTCTGTTCTTAGAATATCTCTGGAAGGAAACAAAAGAAACGGGTCACAGCATCCCCTATGGGACAGGGTTGAGAGTCAAATTACTTTTTTTTTTGAGATGGAGTCGCGCTCTATCGCCCAGGCTGGAGTTGCAGTGGCACGATCTCGGGTCACTGCAACCTCTGCCTCCTGGGTTCAATCAATTCTTCTGCCTCAGCCTACTGAGTAGCTTGAGTTACAGGTGCCTGCCACCACGCCTGGCTAACTTTTCTATTTTTAGTAGAGACAGGGCTTCATCATGTTGGCCAGGCTAGTCTTGAACTCCTGACCTCAAGTGATCCACCCACTTAGGCCTCCCAAAGTGTTGGGATTACAGACGTGAACTACCGCGCCTGGCCATTTTTTTTTTGGTTAAAAACCAGGCTCATTTGACTCCCAAGCCCCAAGCTACGCCAGGGTGCCTTTTCCAACCTTCGAGGGTCCCTCTGCTTCGCCACTTTTTGTGACTGTGGCGGCCCCTGGGGAGTGCCCACCTGTGTGTCTGTCACCTGAGGCCTTGAAGGCCAGATGGCCTGCTGGGGGCTGGGACTGGGGCCTGGTGTCCTGGGAGCCTGGGGAAGGTCCAGGGCAGACCCGACCCCCCACCCACCCCTCTCCCTTCACTTACATGGCACTGGCCGTATAGCTGGCATCGCCGCCCTCCACATACTGCACCTGGCTGGAGTACACGTGTGGGACAGGCACCTGCTGGAGCTGCTGCACCTGGGGCAGAGGAAGGGCACGTGTAGGGTCAGGCGTGGGCCAGCTCCTACAGTTCTGCCTCTAAAGGGCTGGTGTCCACCCCGGCTATCCCTGACGCCCAGCTCCCGGACCCCCAGGGTGGCTTCCGGACTCTCAACAAAACACCCTAGAGGAGGCCAGGGCTGGGGATCAGATCAGGAAGAGCTGTGTCAGGAGGAGAAGCCGGGACTCTCGGCTTCGACTGGGGACAGCAAGGGTGGGGCCTGACGGGCAGTGGAGGGGACCCGAGACAGGGTCCTGCAGTGGGCGTGAAGGTTGGACCCCAGGCACAGGGGCAAGACTAACGCTGGAGCCAGAGCGTGGGGCCACAGAAAGGGCCTCAGGGGCGGGGCCTGGAAACAGGGCACAGGATGTGAGGGGCGGACCCTGGGGCCCCGGTTGGTGGGACAGAACCTGGAATCACTGACAGGGCCTTAGGGGCGGGGCCTGAGTCCCCCAACCTCCATCCCCCCACCCTTGTCTGCAGGGGCGGAGCTGGGACCTGGACTGGGCTTGGGTGGGGAGTCAGAGGCGGGTCCCCAGACCGACCCGTCGGGCGGAGGTGGGGTCTACAGGGCTTGCGGGGCCTGGTGGGCGGCCCAGACCGGGCGCCCCCGCCCCCGCCCGCCCGCTGCCCCCCGCCCGTGCGTCCGCCACCTACTTTGAGGGCCGTGGCGGCCGTGCCGAACACTAGCACCTGGGGGATTCTCTGGATCCTGACCCTCTGGTCGGGGCTGGCTCGGGCCGGGAGCCGGGGCAGTGGCTCGAAGACCACTTTCTGCTGCGGCAGGAGCAGGTGTGGGGGCAGCACGCCCACCAGCTCCACCCACTGCTCGGCGCCCGGCTCGTAATGGGGCGGCGGCGGCTCGGGGCTGCCTAGCTGCGGGGCCTCGCCGCTGCACGCGGGCGGCCGGGGCGGCGGCTCCGGCGGCGGCGTGGGCCGGGGATCTCGCTGCTCTGCCTTCCTAGCGGGAAACTGACTGCCTGAGCTCTGGAGGACAAACAGAGACACTGGGGGGTCAACGGGGGCGGCCGCGGGTGGGGCTCCAGGCCTCCACCCACCGGGTTGCTGAGCGCGCACGCAGCCACCCGAGGGAAGATCCCCGCCGCCCGGGGTCTCGAAGAGGGGTTAGAACTGACCCAGGGCCACGCAAGAAAGAAGCGGGATTTGAATCCAGATCTCTCTTAGCAAAACCTGGACCCTGAGCTGCCAGGGGGCCAGGAAAGAGGAAGGATCTAGGGCATGGTCTGCAGCTCACTGAGGCGTTTCCCTCCCTGCGGCCTCAGGGGCCTGCACTCCCCAGCCCCAGCCCGGGACCAGCCCCTTTGCCCCTGGGGTAGGAGGGGAAGACACACACCTCTTGAGCCACGTGGACTGGCTGGAGGCCCTGCACGGTCAGCGGCTGCACCGGGCCGGCTTTGGGAGCTTGTGGAGTGGCCTGGACCACAGACCTCTGGGAGGGGAAAGGCAACGTTAAGATGACCATGGCAACGATGGCCGTCAACCCACCCAGCCCGTCAACCCACCCAGCCCCTGCACGGGCGACCTTCTGTAAAGCTCACAGCAGGCCGTAAGCAAGAGGCTGCCGTTTTCCAGCCAAGCAAGGAGGGTGCTGGATCCATTACTAATGGGCACCTACTCACAGGGGCAAAGTGAGGCTCCCAGGAAGCGGCAGGGCTGAGTTGAACCTGGGACTAACTGCGGGGTCTCTGCTCTCCGCCCCCTCTCCCTACAGGCCCCTGAAGCTGTGCCAAGAACCCGCAGGCAAGGCCTTGGGTTATCTTTCGTCCCCACCCCGCCCCCCATGTCAACAGTCTGCCCTGTTCTGTGCTGTGGTGGGGATGCGGGGATTATCCTAGGGGTGCAGAGCCAGGGACAGAGGCTGGTGGAAGAGGGTGCTGAGTGGAGAAGCTAGGGCCTGGACCCAGGTCTGGAGGTTTGGGGGGCTGTAGCGCCAGGCAGGGGAGTATCTGTGAATTCTCTGGGACAGGGTTTCTGTTTACACTTGGAAAAGGGTCTATGGATTTCATCTGTTTTCAAGGGGCTGGGAACCCCTCAACTTCGTTGGTAACAACCAGGTGGCACACAGTCCCAGTGTCTTAACCTGCGCCGGCTCAGGGCTCTGCCTCCTTGCAGAGGCTGGGTGTGGATTTGGGCACTGGGTCCCCTCCCTGAAACCCTGCCCAGAAGGAGCCAGGATGTGGCCTCAGGGCTTCCTTCAGGCAAATGGGCCCAAAGAGGCTCAGGTGGTTTCTCCAAGTGGTTCCCCTGGCCCACTATGCCCCAGTCTCCTTCCAGGAGGTCCAATTTCCTCCTCCCCACGGCTCCCCCATCCTCCAGCCCCAGGATGCTGAGTCTGGAAACAGGGAGAGATGCTTATCAAAGGCCAGGGTGGCAGGCTGGGGCTGGACCCACAGGGGCTGGGCTCTAACAGGCCAGAGGCACAGCCATGGGGGGCTGCAGAGGCTGCCTGGCCGGTACCCCTGGCCCGAGCCGCTGCCCGCCTTGGCCTGGCACCTCTTGGGTGACGGGGACACTCTGCTGGACGCCGTGGACCTGCAGCTGCTGTGGCACCGTGCCCGTGGGGGCCCCAGCCGTCTTGCTGGAAGAGCTGTTGGCCTGCACCGGCGACTGCTGTAAGGGAAGGAGACACAGGAGTGCCGCTGGGGTGCGTTCGCATCCTCTCTGGGGTGGACTCGCACTCCCTCTGGGACACCCGGGCCCTCACACACACCCTTCTCAGGAGAGCTGTCTGGGGAGGGCGGCAGCCTGTGGGGACCTATCCCAACCACCCAGGCTGCTAACTGACTGCGTCCCATGCATCCAAATGCCTACTCCCTGCAAGGGCCCCAGTCAACTCCTGGCAACGATGGGGATTTAACCCTCCCCAGCAAGGTTGGCTGATGGTGGGTGGTGCCCCCAGCACCCCTGACGCTCTCCAGGGGCTGATCCTCAAAGGTTATAGCAATGATAGCAATGACAGCAATGACAGCAGCCTCTGGTGTGATATTGGGCCAACTCCCACCAGACACTGCACTGAGTGCTTTGAATGTACTTATTGGAATCTCACGGCACTCCCACTTCCCAATGGAGGGGCAGAGGGGAAGGGACAAGCCCCAGGTCACACGGCTGTAGGCGGTGAGGCGCAGGGCTGAGCCCAGGCAGGCTGGCCATGGAGCACTGTGTCTGCTCTGAGCCCCGCTGTGCCTCAGGCTGTAATGCCCACCGCAAGCTGAGGGGTGGTTGATACCATCAGTTGTTTGACACAGAGAAAACTGGGGGCTCAGAAGGCTCAAAGGGGCCGGGCGTGGTGGCTCACGCCTGTAATCCCAGCACTTTGGGAGGCCGAGGTGGGCAGATCACCTGAGGTCAGGAGTTCAAGACCAGCCTGGCCAACATGGTGAAACCCCGTCTCTACTAAAAATACAAAAATTAGCCGGGTGTGGTGGCGCACGCCTGTAATCCCAGCTACTGAGGAGGCTGAGGCAGGAGAATCACTTGAACCCGGGAGCTGGAGGTTGCAGTGAGCTGAGATTGCGCCACTGCATTCCAGCCTGGGGGACAGAGCGAGATTCTGTCTCAAAAACCAAACAAAGCTCAGAGGCCTGCCCAGAGTTCCACAGGAGAAAGCGGCCGGGCCAGCCATCTGACCCCGAGCTCCTGATGCAGACAGCATCCACAGCCTGGCTTCAACACCCTCATTGGTGGTGGGGTCCCCAGAATCTACCCTGTGGTCCGAGGCTTCCTGGAAGAGACCGTCCCACCCTCCGGAGGGAAGAGGAACCCACTTTGTTTCTCGAATGCAGTTCCCTGAGCTGGAGCTGCCAGGGCCATCTCAACCCAGGAAATCACCTCCTTCTCCCAGAGCAGAGCTCCACGGCCGCTTAGCTCAGAGCTGGCAGATCCAGGAATTGGGCAGCTAAGCCACCCTACCTGGGGTCAAGAAGGGCGTCGCACTGGGAGTGAAGAGGAAAGCAGGACTTTGGAGGAGCAAGTAGGCTTGGCGGGGGGCAGGGAGCCCCAAATATACTATAGGGATACATTGCTGAGCTGGGGAGACATCGGGGGGAGGGCGGCTGACAGGACCACCACTTACCTCTGGGGGTGAGTGCACCTGCTGGGTACCGTGGACCGTCAGGGAGACCTGGCCACCTTTGCTGCCTGGGGCTGCGCTCTGCACCACCAGACGCTGCGTGGGAAGAGCCTGGAGCCAGGGAGGGAGAGGGAAGGCAGATCACTGATGACAGCACCGAGCATCTGCGCAGTGCCAGGCGACATTCTAAGTGCTTCACGCCTGTTAGCTCACAGAATCGCCCTGACAGCCCTGATGAAGCTCAGCTACTGCCCCCGCTTCGCAGAGGGTGACACCAAGGCTCAGGACGGCAAAGGCGCTTATCTGAGGTCCTAGAGCCAGGAAGTGGCACAGCCGGAGTTGTTGTCAGGCCATGTGGAATGTGCTGTCATCCTTAAAACCCAACAGTACTAGGCTGGGTGCGGTGGCTCACATCTGTAATCCCAGCACTTTGGGAGGCCGAGGCAGGTGGATCACCTGAGGTCAGGAGTTCGAGACCAGCCTGACCAACATGGTGAAATCTCGTTTCTACTAATAATACAGAAATTAGCGGGACATGGAGACGCATGCCTATAGTCCCGGCTACTCAGGAGGCTGAGGCACGAGAATTGCTTGAACCTGGCAGGTGGAGGTTGCAGCGAGCCGAGACCGAGCCATTGTAAAACCCGACAGCACTTTGTCCAGTTCTGTGCTGATCAATCGGAAACGGGTGAGCCTGGCACCTCATGTGCAGCCTTCTGGGGCACAGACCACCCTGTGCTGGCTATGGACTCCTGACTCGAAACCTGGCCTTGGGTTCTCTGCTTCAGGACACCAGGCTGGACCCGTAAACCACCTTCCCAACTATACATCCTATTCTCTCTGCTGAGATGGCCCCTGCCTGATAGTCTCACCCTGGGGAGGTGACTGCCCAGAGCCAGGAGGTAGGGCAGCCCCTGGATGGGGCGTCTTCCTCCGATCCTGGTGAGGACAGATCCTGGTTTGCCACAGGGGTTGGTCCTCCACCCTGAGGGAGCCTTCCAGGGTGGGGGCCAGGTACACCAGCCTTACCTGCTGGGGCACTTGGATGTTGGTCAGCTGGAGGGGCGACACGTGGCCTGGCTTGGCCTGCACACTCGTCTGGACCAGCAGCCGCTGTGGAGACAAGGCAGGAGGAGCTGAGCTGCCGCTTCCCCCAGGGAGGCCTGGTGCGGCTGGGTGGCGAGCGGCTGCTGTGCACATCTTGATAAGAACAGGTGAGCAGATGGCTACAGCAGGAAGCAGGGAGGGGAGGCGAGGCCCCCAAGGCCGCAACCTGCACTGCCCCCCTCACAGGCCCTCCCCCGCCCCCTGGGAGGGCCACATCCTACCTGCTGGGTGCCCTGCACCTGCTGAACCACCTGAGTAGGAACACCGGTCTGGCTGGCAGTGGAGCCGGGGCTGGCCTCCGACACCGTCTCGCTGGCCCGCATGGCACCTTCTGTGGGGAGGGGCCACCAGGTCAGCTCTGCCTGCTGTCCCCGCCCCCAGCCTAAGCCTGAGCCCACCTGGAGGGGAAGATGCAGCCTGAAGCCAACCCCCAGCAAGGTCAGGCCCCTCCCGCTTACCCCCAGCCAGCCCTGACTGCACCCATTAGGGGCCCACGCGGCAGAGTGGGCTGGGGCCTGCAGGACCGAGGATCCTTAATACCTGGAAGCAGCCCTCATTAGCTTTCCTCATCCTGAAGCCAGACCAGATAGGGTGACTGAAGAGCTATGATGCTCAAGACCCAGAAGGCTGGTCCCTTCCCAGCAGACGGGACTTGTGGACAGGCAGGGAACTGACTGTCCACTCCAGGGTCCTGGCAGTGCTGGAAGGACCAAGGCGCTGGGGCCACATTCTCTGGGGTGACCCCTGACTTCCCAGGAGTGGAAGCTGCTCGGAGGAGCGGTCCCTGGAAGGTCTTGCTAGCCTGTGGCCAAGTCCTCCCTCCCCGACCCTCTGTCCTCAGTGGGGTGGGGACCACAAGGGGCTTGGAGTCGGGGAGGCAGGTACTCACGCTGACAGGCAGCTGAGAAGAGGCAATCATAGAACATGGTGCTCGTCCCCCACCGCCCCACCCACCCCCTGTCCGTCTGTCCGTCCAGGGGGGCCTGCCTGCTCCTCTTTGCTCCTTGCCCGCCTCTATAGAACAGCAGGGTGTGCAGGTGGCTTTATACCCGCAACCTTGGGGCGCTAATCCCGCCGGTGGATGCGGAGAGCCTGCCTGCCCTCTTGGGGAAACACGCCCCTCCCCAGCAGAGCAGGGCCTTCGCGGGGCTGGGGCAGCGCTGCGGGCTGAGGAGGGAGGTTGGTACCCGGAGACGCTATCGGGCAGGCATAGGTCAAATTTCATGCACATCTTGCTAAGTGATTAGCAGGGGTGCTGGGGGTAGAGGCAAGCGTCCCCAAGAGGCGCTGGCTAGAAGACCCTCACCCCAGCTGGGACGCCATCCATCCCATCCCCTCCATGTGACCTGGTTTACCCCCAGCAGCTCCAGAGGCCGAGGTGGGGCTGGGGGTGGACATGTACCTGCCCTTCCTCCACTGCCAAGGAGCCAAGGTCCCAGGCCCATTTTTCTTGTGGATTTAGAGGGGTTTATCCAACCCCGGTAGCACTGAAGGGCCACGGGCAAGGAGTTATCACTGCACACGCTAGTGTTGCTTCTGGCACACTAGGTGTTATGTTAGACTCTGGACAGCCAGAGACAGTAGAGCTTTTTTGTTTTTTGAGACAGGGTGTCGCTCTGTCACCCAGGCTGGGAGTGCAGTAGCATGATCTTGGCTCACTGCAACCTCTGTCCCCTGGGGTTCAAGCAATTATCCTGCCTCAGCCTCCCAAATAGCTGGGACTACAGGTATGCACCACCATGTCCGGCTAATTTTTGTATTTTTAGTAGAGACGGGGGGGTCTCACTATATTGCCCAGGCTGGTCTCGAACTCTTGGACTCAAGCATGTCCACCTGCTTCTGTCTCCCGAAGTGCTGAAATTATAGGCGTGAGCCACTGTGCCCGGCTGACGTTAAGAGTTTTTCATTTTTTTTTTTTTTTTGAGACAGGGTCTCACAGTCACCCAGGCTGGAATGCAGTGGCGCAATCTTGGCTCACTGAAATCTCCACCTCCTGGTTCAAGTGATTCTCCTGCCTCAGCCCACTGAGTAGCTAGGACTACAGGCACCCGTCACCATGCCCAGCTAATTTTTGTGGTTTTAGTAGAGATGGGGTTTTGCCATGTTGGCCAGGCTGCTCTTGAACTCCTGGCTTCAAGTGATCCGCCCGCCTCGGTCTTTCAAAGTGCTGGGATTACAGGCGTGAGCAACTGTGCCCAGCTGACAGTAAGAGCTTTTATTACCCATTTTCAGACAAGGCAACAGAGACCAGAAGCAAGGACGTCATCTGTCCAAGGTCAAATGCACCATCCACCGTGCAGGCCATGACACAGGTTCCCCTCTGGGCCCACACAAACCTCATACCACACATGGAACCTGGAGTCACTGGTTCTGCCTGGGCTGAGCCCCAAGGGCAGGGATGTATGGACTTGGGTATATGGGCACGGGAAAGAAAGTAAGCTGGGGGTCTATGGGGACCCAGGTGTCCAGACTTGGTCTCGGGTGTCCAGGCAGGGCACAGGAAGGAGAGGGGCCTGGACAGGACAGGAGGGTTGTCCAGGGTAGATGCAAAGGCCAAGTCAAGGACAGAGGGCATGAGTGTGTGTTAGGGGCGGGGGTTGCAAGATGTGGGAGGAGGTGTCAGGGGAGGCCTCTGCGTGGCCACATGTGGGCTGTGGGGCATTTGGTCAATCCCAGGCCTGCCTGACCAGCTGCCTGTGCAGCCAATTCCACAGGCCCCTATGTTTTGCTGAATCTTCCCTGGCATCTTTAGGCTTCCCTGGGCCATAAGGGAGGAGGCCCTCACTGACAGGGCCCCTCCTGAGAGAAACCCGAGACAGCCCCAAGTCACGTGACCGGCCCTGCACACCTGGGTCCGTGGGGCCCAAGGACTCAGGCCCAGCCTAAGGGATAGTGTCTCACCCAGGAAGCTCAAGGTGGGCAGGGAGTGGTGGGCTGGCCCCCACCACCTCCGGGGCTCAGGGACTGGTCCCTGAGCAGGACCCACAGCAGGAGGAGGCCTGGGGACCTGCTGGGACCAGGTGGCTATCTCCAGGAAGCAGCCTTGCCCGTCTCCTGCCTCTGGGGTAGCCCTCAAGGCTGGGACCCCGTGCCTGCCAGCCCAGGAGGGCACCAGGGGATGCGCCACGAGGCTGAACAGGTGAGCCTGAGTGACTCGTGCGGATGAGGGCTTCCTGTGCAGCTGTCCCTGTCTGCCTGCGGCCGGGGCAGGGCCCCTCCACTGCTGGGTCTGGCCCTCTCTGTGTTTCAGCGAAGGGAAGCCAGGAGGGGAAGTGGGGGGTGGCACTGAGTCTGCGAGCGAGCGTCTGCATCTATCTGCCGGAGATCGCCACTCTGGGCATGTGCAGGAGACCAGGGAGGCCCCCACTGTCTCAGGAAACGGCAGCCGATTTCCTGTCCCTCAATCTAACACATCAACGTCTCTGAGCAGTGGAATGACTCTGACAAGTAGGCACCCATCCTCCCCGAGCCCCGCACTTCCCCATCTAGACCTACTCAAACATTAAATGAGCTACTTGGGGGATGCCAGGGGAGGCCCGAGAGGCTGGGCTCCTGGCATCCACCATGGGGGCCTGGCCCCCTTCCCCATGGACAAATGAGGCCACCTGACTCTCTGCCTCCTGCCCCAGGGGCTCCTGGAGGGGCCCCTGCTGCCCCCAGTGTCCTCTGTCCTGTGTCTGCTCCAACCTCAGTTTCCCCATCTGTGCTTGAGAATGCTGACAAACACCCTCCACTTCCCTGTCTGGACACAACTCTTCTTGGACCCCGCAAACCCCAAGTGAGAGAGAAGCGGGGAAGAAGGGCTGGACTCGGCCCCTCCTTCAGGGCGGCCCCCTGTTCCCTGTAGGCCAGCTCGGTTTCACCTTCCCGGGAGTGGCTGCCAGAGCCCACAGCACACTCCTTCCGCCTTGGGTTCTGGGAGAGTCTGATGGCCTCTGAGGACAGGGATTTATGGATCTAGTATTATTCCTGACCAGGGAAACTTGATCTTCCTTCCTACCACCTCCAAAGTCACCTTTAGGCAGGGCAGGCGTGGACTAGGGCTGGGTGAGCTGTGTCTGGTGTTGGTGTCGGCTGGCGTCCAGCCCCAGGCTCCAAGTCTGGGTCCAGGCCCCTCCCTTCCTCTTCCCTGCTGACTCCCTGGGTCTCTGGTCAGCTCCGATTGCTCCTGGCTTGGGAGAAGTCCCAGGTGCCTTATGGCAGCCTTCACTGGTGTCAGTTACTCCCACTTCCCCGGCGCTCACGTGGCCCCGGCCACCCTTAGATGAGGAGGGGCGCTAACCTGGCAGAGGCTCAGGGAGGAAGGCTGGGGACTTACTGCAAGGGGTGGGGGAGGGGACAGCTGGCAGGGCACAAGCCAACCTCCTCTTCCTCAGAACGAATCCAGGAAGCACTGCCCAGTGACCCTTCTGGGGACAGGCTGGCAACTGCCAGAATGTGGATGGCAGGGAAATGAAATTCCCTGGGACCACTGTGAAAGGCGACTAAGCCACTGCCTGACCAAGTGAGCCCCAGAGAGTTCTGGGGACAGCAGGGTTGCTGCAGCCTGCCCTCCTGGGTACAGAGTACCCTCCTGGGAGCACTACCAAGATGGGGGAGACAGAGGTCACCTCTCCATGCCCCACAGCTACTTAGAGTCCCGCCTGGCTCTGTCTGACCCAAAGACCATGCCTTGCTCTTGACTTCTTGCTCTTCTTCGTGCAATGGTGCGATCTTGGCTCGCTGCAACCTCCACCTCCCAGGTTCAAGCGATTCTCCTGCCTCAGCCTCCCCAGTAGCTGGTACTACAGGCACACACCAACACGCCCAGCTAATTTTTGTATTTTTACCAAGTAGCTGGCGACTACAGGCGGGGCCCGGCCACCAGCCCAGCTAATTTTTTGTATTTGTT